ACAGCAAAGGCCAAGTTCAAGTGAGCAATGAGAAGAGAATCAGCAACAGGAGATGTATTCTCCACATTTTTTGCTGGTCTTCCAGGTAGAACCTGGCCAACAAGTACAGTTTTTTGGATGAGGTAACAGCACTGCCTTAGCTACGTCCTGAGACAGCTGTCCTGACCGATTTCCCTAATATCCGGTCTGGGCAGTCAGTACATCCCCCCACCTACGTACAGCCAAGATCCGTTTCCTTCTCTCTAACTTCACCTCCACCACTGAAACCAAGCACCCCACCCTCCCTCTGCCGGTCTCCCATGTCACCTCGCCGCACTCCTTTCTAATCTCTTGTCCAAACTGGTGTGGGATGATCCAGTCAAGGCACAGCTCGGATCAAACCACATCCTGCTTTAAACCTGGCACTGGCTTCTGCTGGAAGGTGTCCAGTGCTTTCACTAACCGACCATCCGCACAGCAGGGGATCAGGAGTGTCCCCCACCCCGCTGTGGCAAGTGATATGCTGCAGCCTATGGCTCTCAGGGGCCTCTCCTCCTGTGTTCTCCCCATGTGCCAGGTCCTCCTGTGCAGGCTCCACACGCTGTAGCTCTCTCTGGGCCGTGTTTGGTGCCCACTCCTCAGTGGCTGCTCCTGGCTCCACCCTCCTTATTCAGCCCTCTCTCCTGGGTGGCCTTTGCCAGCTGTGCCTTCTCACACCTAAAATTCAGCAATTGTTTGTGTAATTATGTTGTTTTTTCCAGCACTGGGAATTGAACCCAGAGTCACTTTATCACTGAGCCACATCCCCTGTCCTTTTTATTTGTCCAGACAGGGTCTGACTAAGCTGCCCAGGCTGGCCTGGAACTAGAGATCCCCCTGCTTCAGCCTCTTGGGTAACTGAACTTCAGGTGTGTGCCACCATGCGGGGGTGTAATTACTTACTGATGCTCACACTCCTGCCAAACTCTAAGGTCCTTGAGGGCAGGAGCCTAGCTGGCTGCTGCTGTGTCTCTGCGGTGCAACCCCAGTGACACCAGGGAGACGAGGGTCATGGCACTTTGGAAGAAGAATGTGGTGTGGCTAAAGGAGGATATTTCCCAAAAAATGTCTGACAAAATATTCTCAAAACTGATTAATAAATGAGGATTGATCTGGTGGCAAATGACAAAGACCAGAAATACCAATCTCAACCATCTTGACTGTCAGGACAAGGACTGTACAACGCTCTATGTATCTAAACGTTACCCGGAACACTAAGGAGATCACGGAAACACTGGATGGGGAAGGTGCAGAGAGAGGAGCCAAGTCACGCATCACGTCAACTCAGCTTTCTCCCTGGGACCAGCCGAGCAGGCCATGGAAGGGGAGTGGCAGGAGGGCAGTGGGCAGGCGGAGGGATATCCCATGCTCAGGCTTAGGAGGCGGGACGCCAGCAGGATGGCTGTTCACTGAATGCTGATGCTGGACACGGAGCACTGGCCACAGAACCAAAGGCCTCGGAGGGCATGTGCTGGCTGGACGAGCCCGAGTGCCAAGGGCCATGTAAACGTCCACGTGGGCATGTCATCCTCTCAGAGGGACTCCAAGGCTGCACAGGGCTCAGAGCTATCAGCTGCTACAGCAATGGAGGGTGCGTTTGGCTCCCTCGCAACTGGTATCACCTAGTGCTCCTCAGGGCTAGGCGCCCTCAGGGGAGTGCCCACCTCCAGAATGCGGCTCAGGCAGTCAGGTGAAGCCGCGCCAGACGACTCCAGAGCACGCTGGAAGGAAGGTGTGGTCACTAACTTATGCATTCGCTTGACAAATACTGGAACAGACAAGAGGGACATGATGAGGGACAGGACCATGCTGCCTCAGCACTGTCGGGTGTTCATGGGGGGGGGGTGCATTCTGAGAAATGTGTCCTTAGAGTCTGGACACAAGACAGAGCATGAACACAAACGAAGACAGCCAGGACGTCACTTGCTGATTGATTCTTACAGGGCCACCATTAGGTATGTGGCCCATCACTGAACAACATGTCACTTATGCAGCCTGTGAATATAGTTGCAATAGTGGTGAATACAGGGTCTTGGGCTCAGTGTGTGTGTATGTGTGTGTGTGTGTGTGTGTGTGTGTGAGAGAGAGAGAGAGAGAGAGAGGTATTGGGGTGGGTTAGGCTAGACCTGGGGGATCAGGGCACACTGTGTCAGGGAGCACAGTCGTGTGGAGATGTAAGGCGGGACAGGCGGGCGATGGGAGGAGGGCAGAGCGACTCAAGTTCTGGCCTGACTGCAGAGTGCGGGGAGGAGCTGGGATGGGAGCAGAAACGGGATCGAGACACATTCTTGGTGTAATGGCCAAGACTTGGTGACCGAGTGCCCTGGCATGAACAGCTGAGGGCAGGAGGTGCTGCTCAATAGAAAAGGGTGCTGGAAGGGGATGGCTTCCGTGGGCCACACAGGGTAAGTGCAGGTGCCCGCTGTTGTGCCAGCGGAAAGCCCAGGAGGCAGCTGGACCTACAGGCCAACGTTCAGGAGTGAGAGCTAGATCAGAGGTAAAGCTGCAGTCACTAGGGTGACCCTGTGAACCTGATACTGCGGACTCTGGTGGGAGGGAGGCTTTCGGCGCGCTGACAGGTTCGCTGCTCACCTTGTCGCACCTGCTTGTGACCCAGATGCTGGGCAAGAGCAATAAAGCAAAGCCCTGTTCTCCCTCTAGTGGGGTCAACAGAGAAGAAACAAGAAACAATAAGATTTGGGAAAGGAGGCAAGTGGCGGCTGATTGGTCAGGTCTCTGCCAATCCCTGGCTGCGTAGGTCTGGAGCTCCGCCCCTTCCTGGGGCAGCTGCCCGCTCTGCCTGGGCTGCTGGAGCCCAGCCACATGGCACATAGCTGAAATACCTGTCAGCTTCCTCCAGTTTCCTGAGATAACATGAGTTGCTGCCTCTTGTAACCTGGAGAGCTTAACACACCCACAGTGCTTCTGGGTTCCATGGGGCTGACAGCCAAAGCACAAGATAGTCAGACACCTTGACCCCACCTAGCGTGTGGCGGTCAGTAAATGCAAGGCTATTGACCAAGCCCTTCCTGTAAGCCTCAGCCACAAATGACTTCATCTGAACAAAAAGCCAACTTCAGAACAGGTAGAGCGCTCTGGACACCCTTCCTGCTCTTTAAGTGCTTTGTCAGATGGGTCAGACCACAGCATCTGTGGGAAGTACCTGGGAGGTGGAGGCAAAAATGACCTATGTGGAATGCAGATATATTTTGATTGACTCTATTATTATAGGAAAACTCCAATCTTATTTAGTTCTACCATCTAATTCTCCAGCCTCAAATGATAATTAGGAAGATCACTGATGTAGGAAAAATGCTTATGGTATGATATTAAATGAAAAGAGCAGAATGTACATCTAGAGCCACATTGTGATCAAAATTCTATGAAGTTCGTATACAGAAACAAGCAAGGCCTGATTGGGCAAAGCACACGGGGTAAGGAAAACTGTCTTTTTGTATTCTATGGGAAATTAAGGCACAAAGTAACTGCAGACAAAGGAATCTAACACGATCATTATGTGGCTGCTCCGTTAGGAAAGTTTATGAGGGAAACCCAGTACAAAGGAGAATAGGTTTTTTAGAAAACAACAGCTTTGGCAAAGACGAACTGAGTCAGCCTCCTTGCACTAAGTCCCCAAGATGACAGACACCAAGTTCTTGGCGGGAACACAAACTTGAGAGACCCTGCTGTGAGGACAGGAGCTGGTGGGAATGGGATGGAACAGAACCCATGCATGTGGGCAGGAGGAGCCGACAGAACACTCAAAGAAGCAAGTCTGAAAATAGAAAATTGAACTGATCAAAGTCCAGGCTGCAGTTTTCTTGTAAATTCTTGAGTCAGTGTGGAAATGACATTCTGGGATGTCACCTTACACCTAAGAAAACAAAAATGGTGTCCACCCATCTACTGACACCCGAGGAACAGAGCACCCTGGGTACTGAAGAGCCCATCTACAGTGAAGGGGGCACCTTGTAAGCTCTGGACAGTCTTCAGGAAACCCCTAGTCAAATACAAACTTTGGCAGAAAATCCTAAGGCCAGAATTTACAAGAGTGCAATGGGTTCCTCAGATGACAAAAGATGAGAACACAGAAAAGCATTCCTGGCTGTCCCCCCAACCTGCTCCACTCTACAGACAAGAAAACAGAGATCCAAGCAGGAAAAGGAGTATAATCAAGATCTAATAAGAACATGGTGTGAGACTCGGTCTACTCTCTCCTGTCCAAAATGCTTTCACCTGTCCCTTGTTTGTTGTGGCTTCTATTAACCTAAGCTCAAGGGAAGACAGCAGACATCATGGTAGACATGAAGTGGGACATGTACAGGTGCCGATGGCATTCAGGGAGTTACTGGTAAGAGCAAACATGCAGCTTCCATCAAGGGGAAGGTGGCGGTAACTGGTTTCCTTGTCACACATATGTGGTTCCTAATTTTCTGATTAAAGTGTCTCCAGGAGTGAGGTGGGACCCACATGATCATGTCCACCACCCCCTAAGTAGGTCTAAGTCACCTGGGAGCCGAGAAATCACAAACAGAATTGCAGGCTCAAGGCACTGAAATCTGCCTCACTTTTCTAAAATAAGGACTTGGGAACCTTCACCTCTTAGAATAACTAACAAGTATTATTTATATTTTAACCTTTATCTCCTTTAAAAGAGTTATAGCTAAGGGGACTGTCAGCTTTGACCCTCCAATGGAGACTGGCCAGAGGTCATTGATCCTGGATAATCCAGAGAGAGGGGCCACTCCTCAGGTCCCTTAGGCAGCACCAGCACACACAGGGAGGTGGCATGTCTGCTGTCTGCTAGGTGCAGCCTTCTGCACCCAGAATTCACAGCTGCATCCAGTGGTCACGCGCAGGGATTCACGTGTGGAAAATCCGGCTCCTAGGACTCCCTGGTTTTCCTGAGGAACTGGCGCTGCCCGAGACCTGCAATTCCCCAGATCCCATGTCCTGTCAGTGGGCTGCAGGGCCAGGCTTACCTGGAACGTCGATCAGTCTCTTGTAGACATTCAAGAAGGCCGCCTCAGCCTCTTTGCTTCTTTTACTCAGTGCATCAATCTGAAAGGGAAGGAAGGAAAAGACAAAGAGCTCAAAATTTGTCAAGAGGAAATTTAAAAGTCATTCTGCATCTTGTGAGTCCCCACGGCAGATGGAAGTGAGATTCTCCTTGCAGACACTTTTCCACCAGCCTCAGCCTCTTAGAGCAAGTACCCGCAGCCTCCCGGGAGGAGGCAGTCCCCAGGGGCCAGGACCTGAGGGTAATGCGCAGGGCTGAGGAGGCACTGGGTGGGGCTTCAGGTCTCTGTCCTCCGTGTCCAAGCACAGACACAGCTGTGACTGGGGCAGGGCAACAACTGCCCGGGAGCTCAGGGGCTGGAGAGGGAAACAGGCAGGCCAACAAGCTAACCTCTGCCAGGGCAGAGCCGTGGGGACACAGAGAAGGGGACACCAAGGGAAGTCGGGGACTTCTGTCCAGAGTCCTCAGGAACAAGTCACCAGGGCGGAAAGGTGGAACCATGAGTCAAAGGGCAAGAACACAAACAGGGCACTTCTCAAACTGGGTATTCAGAGATCCTCCTTGAGAATTTTATGTCAGCCAAGGACACCCTCCTAGTGCCCGTGCACATGTGGAGTTATGTGTTCTATCTTAGGACCCTCTCGTGTCCGACTGTGTTCCAGCCACAGGACTGGTTAAGAACCCACAGACAGGGCTGTGATGTGCCACGGAACATGGGGGATCAGCCTGTATTTGATGGGGGAACACAGACACAGCTTAGGCCATGAGCGAGGTTCTGACGGTGGCCAGGGCCAATCTGTCCCTGGAACGGACCCAGATGCACTCATTTTCCCCAGTGCAGGCTTCTATTGGTCAAAGAAAGTGAGGTAGGAAACCCTGAAGTGTATGGGACAGGCACCCAGAGTCCCCAACCCCTGGGTCACCTCGTTTAGTGTTTAGCTCATGTACAATCACTGGGACAGCAGATCACTTTTTATACCTGAAGCATGCAAGACTTTACATGCACAAAGTTCACAATGACTTGGGAAAAGGACACCAAATCACATCCTCCTCCTGTCCCCTTGTAGAACTACGCTCTCTGCCTCAGATGTTGTTAAAGAGGCAGGGCCTGTGGCTTAATTACAGAGCCTTTTTCTGAACCAACCCGCAGTCTGCTAGAGGCGGCAAGGCCACCTGATTAAGGAGGGTGAGCAGCTGAGGGGCAGGAGGTGCCTGCACACGGGGTCTGGGGAAATCTCACAGCAGAGGCGGCAGCAAAAGCCCTGCCAGTGCCCCCCACGCTCTGCCTCGAATGCCAATCCAGATTAGGTGTTTAGAACTCAGACCCCTGTTTTTCTCCCATGAAACAAGATTGTGATTCAGGTGTCTGGTGAGGTGGGGTTCACGTCAGGACTTTTAATACAAGACAGGTCTCTCTGTATTTTGAACAAAAATCTGTCCCCTTTGACTAGTAGCATTCACACTTATGGTATAATTGGAAAAATATTTAAAAATTAGAGAAGGAAATTATACTTATTTCTTTCACTGGTGTGTTTTCAATGTTTTTCTAATAAAAATCAAGTTGCATGAAACTCAAGCACCTAGGAAGACTCTAGAGAGAACGTGGATCAGTGGTTGGCTAGGCTTGGGGGCACGACGAGGGGGGCAGTTGGAAGATGTGGGCTAAGGGGCGGGGGCTCTTTTGGGGTGGTGAATGTGCCCTACAATGGCCCACAGTGATGGTCACCATGTGTGAATCCTCAGAAAGCCAATGAGCTAGACTAAGCGGGTGAATTCCATCTCCATAAAGCTGTTTGAAACGTGTGTGCACTTGAATTCAAACCGTACGCAAACTTCTGTGCAGCGTTTTCTTTCACTGATGCATCGCACATCTTCCTCAGAGCTACTACACACAGCGCAAGTCTCTAGCACCATTGCAACTGCCTGGCCCCACATGCCACGTCTGCTGGAGAAGTGGACCTGGAGCCGCCTCTCGGGCACCTGCACTGCCTCCACCTGCCCGGCTGCTCTCACAGCGCCACACAGAGCCTCCTTCACCCGGTCAGGCCAGGCCAGGCCAGGCCCAGTGGGCCCCTTGCTTCCCAGGGACCCCACAGTGGATCCACAGGTGACCGTCCCTTCAGTAGGCAAAGGATGGGATGTGGAGACCTTCTGAACTTCCATCCTGGTTGTTCGTGGGCATGTGGGTGGCACACTGGGGACGATGATGGGCTGAACTGTAACCACATCTCCCAAGACACTGGAGCCTTAGCCCCCATAGCCATGAAGGCGACCTTATTTACAGACAGACTTCACAGGTGACCAAGCTGAGGTCATTATCATGGCCCTCATCCAGTGTGGCCTTATAAAAAGTGGAAACATGGACACAGAGAGAATGTCACAGGACGAGGAGGCAAGATGGTGATGGCCAAGGACTGCCAAGGACAGCCGGCAACCACCAGAGGCTGGGAGAGGGCCCAGGCTGTCCTCAGGACCCACAGAGGGAACCAGCCTGCCTGCACCCCTGACCTTGCCCTTCAGTCTCCCTCACTGGGACCCTGAGCCCGTGGTACGTAGTTACGACACAGAGGGACCATGCTTCTGAGCCCTCTTCCCTTCCCTCTTCCACGATGGCAAGCAAGTTCAAAGCCATTCCCGTGAGGACAAGGGCAGGCCAAATGGGCTTCATTAACCAGTGGACTAAGCAGTGCCTTGAGAGATGCTGACAGTTCAATCCACGTGCAGCTGAGTTTCTGCCTGGTGAGACCCTCCCACCCCTCCTGAGCCGCAGAACTGTCTGGAAGCATCTGTCCATTCGGAGAATGCTGACACTCCCTCTGAGGCTTCATTCTCCTGGTTCCTCCCAGGGCCACTGCCCTGGGCCACAGATAGGCCCAAGTCTGGGCTCAGGTCTGCCTCCCTCCCAGTTCAGCTTTCCCGTGGGGATTTTCACAGACCCCTCGCTGTGGCCCATCATTTCCCATGTCAGCCTCTTGCCTGCTTGGCATCTCTGTGCACAGAGGACTCACCTGTGCTTTGAGACCCAGTGTAACCTCCACTTTCCCCTGCTGACACTGCCAGTGTCCCTCTGGCTGGCGGTGACCCCAGTGTGGGGGGAGGGTGTGCCCAGACACTGGAGCCCAGCTGGCTGTGCATTCCAGCTGCCAGCGCCGGGCTGTCAAAGAAGCTAACACAGGGGGAGTGCCTAGTGCCAGCCACAGGATGAGCCATGGGACACCAGCTTTGCCCCATGGGAGAGTGTTTCTTCCTCCAGGTGTCCACGCAGTTCCAACCCAGGGAGCGGGGACTCTTGCCTGTGACCCTTATCATTCAGGGAGGGAGGCGGAAAAGAGACGGTGGAACTCATCTTCCTGCCCTGCAGCCACTGCCTGCCTGCACAGTGCTCAGGGCCAGGGCTGCGATCCTGGGAGGCAGGAGTCATCCAGGGCAACTGGATACTCAAGGGGAGAGAGGGTGACCAGAGAGACCAGGGCTAAGGTATGAAGACGTGGACCGCAGAGTCAGGACCCTAAGTCGACATGCGGCTTCCTCACGTGCATGCCCGAGGGAGGGTTCTTACACTACTGTGCCCACCCCCATAACTATCTGGGATAGGTGGCGAGGACAGAGGTGCCGCTGCTATGCAGAACTCGGGCAGATCCAGGCCACTCAGGCACTGGCCTTGGCAGAACCTGTCCTGCTTCAAGAGGGCCCGCCTGCTTCACACTCCAGCCACACCCGGTCACTCCCTGTTCCCTGAATACCCGAGTAATTTTCACTCAGCCTGGAAGGCGCCTCCTTGGAATGTCCCCTGATCTGCAGGGTCAGTGCAGATCCACCTCCCAGTGCAGGCTGCTCCTGCGACCATCCCGTCCCCTGAGTGCCAGGACCACAGAGAAGGCTCCTCCCCCAGGAGATCCAAAATTCCTTGAAAGCCCAGACTACATTCCCAATGGCCTACCCTCCCAGGGGCTGCGCACAGTAGGGGTCTGACACATTTCTATCCTGTGAATGAAAATCACTTCCACAGGCCAGAAGTGAACAAATGGGTTTAAATCTTCATGAAAACGCTCCAGATGTAAAGAGCCCTCTGTCCTGAGCACTTGCTTCCTGTGTGGTGGCCTGATGGCCTGCAGGAAGCATCTTTCCTATGCACCGCACGCCCCCCCCCCCCCCCCCCCGCCGCCCCACAGTGAGTCGAACGGTCTCAGGCCAGCAAGTGCCTAGCAGCTCGTACTGCACAATTCTTGGACAATGTCACTTTCACAGTGTTGAGTGTGGCTTTTTATGTAATTTAAATACAAGTGTCTACATGGAGGTATTCTGTTCAAATCTCATACAACCCATGTTTGCTGACGGTACTCTAAACTACCCGGAGTCCAGGTTGGCAAAGCTCTGAGCTTTAAAGGGGTAGGACAGTGCCTGAGTGTCTTGGTGGCAGCAGAGGGGAACTGTGGGGTTTCAGGAGTCACGCGGAATAGGTGTCGCTGCTCCCTGTCACGGCCCACCTGCCCTGTGAGGGGCTTTACACATCTCTGTCCACGTGGGAGCTTCTGTGCCCCGCTAAGGTCAGGTGTGGTCACGTGAGATGCTCTGGCCGATGGCAAGAATGCCTACACCAGGCCTGAGCACGGATTCAAGAGCCATTCCCCTGGTTCCGCCTTGGTGCTCATCTCCATTGCTGTGAGACCAGGAGTGGCTTCTTCCGCTGGGACTTGTGACGGTAGACAACGCAGGTCCCAGGCAGAATCACATCATCCTGCAGCCAATGTGACCAGACACAGGCTTTTATTGCCACTGGCTTTGGAGATGTGGGGTTGTCTGTTCTAGTGAAGGCTGCACTGCAGTCCCCATCTGCCACGGGCCATCTCTCGAGACAGCGGCATGAAGCGAAAACAAGGGACAGAAACCGAGACCTCGAGGCCCAGGACTTTGGCTTATTGTTTACTCTGCAGCTTGCCTGCTTACTCCTGTGGGGCAGGGAGCCGGAAGGTGGTATCCTAAGGCAGAAAGGGCACGGGCTTGGGACGCAGGGGACTGGCTTTTGCTCCAACAGCATCTG